GTCCGATTCTGGAAAGAAAAAGTAAAATCGAGCTGAAAAGTAAAAAAAAAAGATTTGCACACAAGGGGGATTGAACCAAAGTCGCCACATGAAATTCCAACGCACTAAATATTACGCTATCGGGGCCTCTACTCTAAATCTACTTGTATATATCAACGAAACAGTGCTTCTCTCTTAAAATTATGAAAGGCGGGTCACTATTCAAATTTTAGCGCCAAACGCCACGAGTTAATATTCGCCCCTTTCTTTGGAATGTTCTATCAAATAGGTGTGATAGCTTCAATGAAATTAAAAAAAAAAACGTTCTTATAGCCTAAGATTCGAAGTTAAGAGAGTATGTTTAACACTTTTTACAATGTCCATATTGTACTTATGCATGTAACACTAAAGCGGTGAAACAGATGTGATTTTTTTTTCAATATCTGTTTATCCTCAAAGTGAACTATCCCGAATAGTTCATCGAAAAAGGTTGAAAAGTTTCGCCGGAAAATATGACTCGCCCTACGACGGTCAGCAATCCTTTATCATTTATGCTCAATAACTTGAATCAGGTCATTGAGACAAGAATGCTAAAATAAACTCCATGAAGCGATCTTAAAAAAAATCGTTTTATTATTTTTGTCTAATTTATTAGTTTAAAATGACACAAATGTGCATAGGAAAAAACAGTGATTAATATTTATACTGACAAAATTAATTGATATTCTTGTTTGAGAAAGTATTACTTATGAGTATAAGATCTGTTTTTCCGTGATGCACAAAATATATTAGGTATCAAATTTCATTTGAACATTTAGTCTTTTCTTTTTTTACTTTGAAAACCAGCCAAAACCAATTATAGAAGACGTTAGTTTGACACAGAATTGTAACGTAACTACGACGTGACAATCCAAGTAGTCTTTTACATTTCATTTATTTTTATGTTAATTTCGTTAAAGCAAACACTCGGCTGACTCCGTAAACCCCTATTGCGAAATGTCGGCGTTGACTGAGACAGCCGCCATTTTGAAGCCGCTTCAGATTTTTGAATGCTAATATCTAGAGTTTAGATTTACCAACATTCAAACAAATTATATAGTAAGCATTATAAGGAGTGTTTCTATTAAAATACCAAAAATAAATGAAAAAAACTGAAAAACAAAAAAGTTAGAAAATATGATTTTTTTTAATTTGCACCTCGTAACGACCGGAAGTACTGACGACGCACGAAAATGCGATTCTGCAAACCAGAAAGTCATGATCTTTCATCTCCAATAAGTCTTCATATCATATCCTTAGCCATTTTCGACAAAAAGGGGCGACAAAATCGCATTTTAAAATCAGGAAATTGTCCATAACTTGGCACCAGAAGCGATTTTTTCAAATTTCTTTTCGGATGTAACAACTTCATATAATGACACATTTTTTGTGCAACTTTCATGAAAAACCGCTGAATGGTTTTCGAGAAATCGCCTGCACAAAATTTTGTCAAAAAAAGAATAATAATAATAATAATAATAATAACTAGAGCAAAGCTCGTTGCAACGCAACGAGTAGGTCTTCCGTCCTATTTGACCGGAAGTAGATTTTATTTATAACAAAAATGCGAAATAACGCCCCCAAATAGCTTGAATCCTCTAAAAGTATGTTAATTAATGCAAAAATAAGCCATTTTTAGCAACTTCCGGTCTGACTGGAAGTGACGACGACGGACAGAAAATTAATTTTTATGCCCCCAGAGACATTTGTTACCCCAAAACTTGTCATAAACGGCAAAAATACGTATTTTCAGACTACTTCCGGTTTGGCCGGAAGTGACGTCGCCGGACGAATTTTGACGACGCCAATAGATTGAGCTTGACCTTTTGAACAACTTTGCTTCTTTGACATATTACAAATTCTTTATAAATTTTGAGATATAAAGAAAAAAGTTTCGGTCCCTCTAGGCCCCTTATTTAAGGGGCCAGTCCTTTTTTTGAGATATCATTTGAAAGATCTTAAAATGCTGCACTTCTTTTGCTCTATATGTCTTAACAAAATATTTTTTAGGTAAAAAGATATCTTCGAAAAAGTGTTACAAATTTTGAAATTCGTGATACGTCTATTTTCGGGCCATAGCGAGCGCCGACGTGCGGCCCTTCTGATTAAAATGAAATACGTTATACATATCTACAGACTTTGGTCTATCATACCTGAAAATTTCATGTTTCTATCATGAGCCATTATAGAGAAAGTCTGCGGACAAACTGACCCTTCAAAAATCATAAAATCGGCAATATTTCCAAACCGGAAGTGACGTCATCAAATGGGAAAAAAATGCATAAGGTTCAAGTAATGTAACATAAGTCCTGAAAGTTTCATTGAAATCCATCGAGCCGTTTTTGAGAAATCGCGTGCACAAAATCGGTAAGAAAAAAAAGAATAATAAAAGTGGAAAAGAAACCTAAGAATAACAAGAAGGTCTTCCGCTGAAGACGGAAGACCTTAATAATAATAATAATAAGAAACAATAGAATCACTATAAGGTGTTCCGTTGAGACGGAAGACCTTAACTAGAAAAGAAACTCGTTGCGAGCAACGAGAGGTCTTCCGTCTGATTCTGAAAAAAAGGCAAAATCGAGCTGAAAAAAAGTGATCAAACTTTTTATGGAAACAAATAGGATTAAACCCGAATTGCCAGTGTGAAAATGCAATGCGCTTACTATATTACGCTATTGGGACTAGAGCTCTAAATGTATTTGTATATACTTCTGCAACAGTACATCTGTCTAAGAATAATGAAAGGCGAATTACTATTCATAATTTTGCGTCAAACGCCACGAGTAAATCTTTGCACCTTTTCTTTGGAATGTTCCATTTATTAGGTGTGATAGCTTCAACGGAAAGAAAAAAAGAACGTTCTTATACCTAAAATATCAAGGTGAAGACAGCATAATTAACACATTTTACAAGTTTCATATTGTATATAAGCAAGTAACACAAAAGCAGTGAAACAGTTGTGCATTTTTAACTTTTTAAAATTTCCTGTTTTTCCCCTAAGTGAACTATCCCGTGTTTCACGTGTTGAAAATCAGAAGGTACCGGTATTAGGTATCGAATTTCATTTTCACATTTAGTCTTTTCTTTTTCTACTTTGAGAACCAGCCAAAACCAATTATAGAAGACGTTTAAAAGGAACAAAGTTCGACACAGAATTGCAACGGAACTACAACGTGACAATTCAAGTATTCCTTTACATTTTATTTTTCCTTGTCTTACTTTCGTTCAAGCAAACGCTCGGCTGACTCCGTAAACCCCTATTGCGAAATGTCGGAGTTGACAGAGACAGCCGCCATCTTGGACCCGCTTCAAATGTTTAAATGCTAATATCTAGAGTTTCGATTTATCAATATTCAAACAAATTATATAGTGAGCATTATAAGAAAGATTTCTATTAACATACCAAAAATGAATGAAAAATATTGAAAAACAAAAAAAGTTAGAAAATATGATTTTTTTAATTTGCATAAGGTGACGAGCGGAAGTATTGACGACGCACGAAAAGGTAATTCTGCAAACCAGAAAGTCACGAACTATCGTCTCCAATAAGTCTCCAGTTCATATCTTTAGTCATTTTCAACAAAAAGGGGCGACAAAATGGCATTTTAAAATCAGGAAATTGTCCATAACTTGGCACCAGAAGCGAATTTTCCGAAAAACGGAATTTTATATAAAATTCATATAATGACGCATAATTCCTGAAAATTTCATTTAAAACGGCTGAATAGTTCTCGAGAAATCGCCTGCACAAAATTTTGGTCAAAAAAAGAATAATAATAAGAAACAGTAGAATCACTATAAGGTCTTCCGTGAAGACGGAAGACCTTAATAATAAATAAGAAATAATAGAATAATAATAAGAAGAACCAATTGAATCACTATAAGGTCTTCCGTGAAGACGGAAGACCTTAATAAGAAACAGAGTAAAAACAATATGTTCCCCAACTTCGTTTGGGGAACATAATTAAAATTATTAAAGGAAGTAGGCTTCCACACGTACATGTATGAATTGAACTGCAAATGAATATATAATCACAATTATCGGGTATCACAATAATTCAGTTTCTTTATTTTCTGTGATTGATACTGCTTCCGTATTTATTTTTTTATACAGAATATTAAACGTAAATTAATTCAAATAGATTTCATCGTTATATTGCTAATGTCCATACTATCGGGATACTCGAAGGGATTTTTGGGGGCTTTTAGAAAATTCTTTTTTATTTTATTTTGACAAGTATTATTTTTCAGTCAATATTATTTTTACTGACATATCAATTTAATCATTGTAAATTTCTCTATTTCTACATTACTTTTTAATTTTATTTGTTAGAATGTACATCTGTAAATCACCAGAATGAAACCATCAGATTATGTTCAAAATTAATTAATCCTGAAAGAAATTCATACACATTTCATTTATCGATTTTATTTTTGCATTACATACCGGTAAATTGAAGTTAGGGTCATTGTTGACCAACATGTTCAATGATGTGAACACTGATATACCTAAATAACATGCAATGGTTTTCTACCCTAAGGCGATGGAAACCGTGGGTGTTGATACCATTTAATAAACATTAATCGGCCAGGTAAACACAAGATAAGAAAAAAAATTAGGCTACTTTGTAAAATGTAGAAAGAGTTTAGGAAAGACAGGGTCTTTTGCAGAAAAAGACTAAAAAAAAATCCCCAAAAAGATAATTAGGCTACTATGTAAAATATAGGGGGAGTTCAGAGAAGAAAAGTGTGACAAAAAGACGGACAGACGGACATTCGTAACAACATATACCCGAACTTTCTTTAGAAAGTGCGGGTATAATAAGAGCTTAAATATATGTTATCATAACCTTTCTAAAATACGTTATGTATACAAAAATAGATAACCAATTTCAAAAGCTATTTCAACTAATGACCTAGCGGATTAATAATTTTAACTTAATGGAGATTCTTAATCTGATTGGATGATTTTTTTCAGATGCTGTAAATATCCATCCTGAAAGATTTATGGCATACATGAAAAATGGGAAGACAACAGTTCGTCATGTACGTGGGATTGTGGTTGGATGTGAAGGAGCAGGGAAAACGACACTTCTATACAGACTGATGGGGAAAAGTCTCAATGAAATCAAAGAAATAAAATCAACCAGAGGACTCCATTTCTACGAACACATCTTTTCTGTGAAAAACGGAGATTTATCAGGTAGTGTTCTTCAACCAGCTATGAATATAATTATTCTTTTTAAAAAATATTCTAGTTAATTTGAATAATTAATGAACGTAAATATATTTTTGCAAATTTGCCCAATTAGTTATGCCTCCTTTCTTTAATTTTGTTAAATTTATTTCGGCAATCTTAAGATCCAACGAACTGTTGGAAATGGGACTGAAATCTCACCCGGACACTTTTTTTCTGATCAGAGAAAAATGAAGATTTTAAAGTGCTAAATATTGGCATTTTCCTATATCAATTTAATCCTATAGTAAATGTACCTGTATTTATAAAGGACCCTCAAAAAATACCTGGACAGTAGATTTTCCTCAAACTTTGCATGTACATGTACTGAAGCTAATGACATTTATATATGGTAAAAAAAAAATGAAGATTTTCGCTATTGTAGTTTTCACACAATAAAACTATAGTCGGCATTAAGTGAATATATTTAAGAGAAATCTTATTTAATAAAAAATATCATTGTGTTCAAGAATTTAATTGGACCTTTTTGTTTTATGACGTCACAAACTATTCGGATTTTATAGGGGTTTTATCCATCAAATTCATATATCACAGGTCTGCTTGATCAATATTTATATTTCACATAATATTAAAAATACTAAGTTTTTTCTGAATAAATCATGGAAATTTGGAGGTTTTTTTTCTGTTGACACATCGAACATATAACGTCAGTTTTTTTTTAAATATTCAGTGCTTTGTAATCTAAATGAACATCACCCTGTTTTATAACACTTTATATTTCTCCATCAAAGTTTGAATTTGGGGGCATTATAGAATATGGTCCTTTGTTTTCAATCTTTACAGAGTAAGCAACATATTTATTTATTATCTTATAGACAAAATTTAAATTTTCTTTCAAAATCATCTTGTTTACAAAAATTGATCACCGATTTCGATTTGAGCTGAATATCGCCAAAACATGAAATTAAATGGTCTTAAAATATCTATATTTTTGTAAAATATATGTACATGTATTGTAGCTACGGACGATGAGTTCTTAAGGAAACCATTGATCAGAATTCCAGCATCTGAGATTCAACAGATGGGATCAGACCCCAATGATGACTCAGTGAATATTGAAATGGGGATAGAAACTGAAAACAGTTCTAGCTTGGAAAACAATAAGGTTGATCAGAGTACTGGAAAAGAATTAAATGCAAGGCAGAATACTGAACCGGGTTCACAGAAAAATGAAACAGATGATCAACAGCCTACAGAAAATAAAAGAAGAAAAATGCATGCCGGAGAAAATGACGGTATTGATCAACAATTAGCAAGGGATGTTTTGAAAAAAATATTGGATGACAAGGAAAATGAAATAAGTGTCACCATGATTGACTTTGCTGGACAATTTGCTTATTATGCTTGTCATCAGATTTACATGAGATCAGAAGCATTCTATGTTCTAGTGTTAGATATGAGTAAAGATTTCGAAAACTTCGTTTGTAGTGACAGAGATGAATGTCAGGGCTCCATCTTCTCTACGTGGACATACAAAGGTACGTTTTGAATCCGGAAGCAAGAATCTAAAATATTTTAACTGAAAAATCATGTTCTCTTGAATAAAAGAAGGTCAAACATGATGCATTGAGTATGACATGCCAGAATATTTATTTAAAGAAATAGAAAGAAACTCTTTATTTTTTAACATGTTTCCCTTGAGAACTATTGTACTATATTTCCTTTTCTATTTGCTTTAAAAATCATACATAGCGAGTTCCAGTAAATGTTCAAAGAAACCTCCTTCTTCATGCCTCTCTAAAATATTATCAGTAGTGATTCTGTGACGGAGAAACCTCAGGAGTACTGTGCAACAATATATTCAAGAAGTGATGTAAATCAGATGTAGATACCTTAAAATTCCAAGGAACATTTGCACAATTTTATATCACAAGGTTTTACCAAAATCAACAGCTTTTAAAAACTTACGATTTTTCAGCTTTATACCCATTCCCTTCCCAATATAAATTCAGTCCAGGGTTTTCGATACCATTGACAGCTGCTTTTTCAATAGAAATAGAACTCGTAAATTTAAACATCTTTATCACTTAATTTTACACACACAATCCAAAGATTCTTTATTGCGTTTTCATATATGCTCTTCATTTGCTTTTGCTTAACAAGTTACTGGCTTCGTTAAGGAGGCTCATAACACCACTTTTTGATAACGTACTACACAAAAAAAACTCCATTGTGTCGACCGGTTTCCTCTGGGGATGAATTGTATAAATACCTCAATAATATGACCCCGACCTTTAAAACGCTTTAAATATAGATGAAACATGCGGTGTTATAGGAGTGAAAACAAAGTAACGGATTCATTATGCATTAACCAAGAAGAATTACTTTTACGCAGAAACAAAAGAAAACAACAGTCAAATCTTCGCAAAACAAGTAATGTCAATTTTATAGCGATGCATGCAGTGAGCTCTATTAATCAATGACATGTTTGTATGGATGAAATTCGAGTTATAATCTACAACCTTGTTGAAATTAAAAAGTTATTTACTTGCACTATTTACTGTGTTGGTGTTAATTTATATATTTGCTATATTTATTTAAATGTATACTCTGGCATTTAAAGCTTTGATCTGAATTTTAGAAGTAACGTCAAACGTTCCTAAGAGTTTTGAGTCTTGGGTAATTAGGAAAGATAACTCTTGAAAGTGGACTTTTTATACCAAATATTTTTTAAAGTGGATTTTTCATTTCGTTTAAACATTCTTTATTCAATTTGTCACATGTAATTCATTGAAACACATTCTCTGTCTCCTCAGAACTCATTTTCTTAATGTTTTATGCATAGATTAAAAAAATAATGACAATTGTTTTTAGAGGAAAATTATTTTTTCTAATAAAATAATTATTAGGTATTTTAGGGTATTTTCACTGTGTGTACTTATCTTAAGGTCTTTAGTCCCTAATAGGAAGAAATTCAATGAAATTTGAAGACATAAAAGATATTTAGGCATTAAATACCAAGTTTATTTAGACATACTTCCCATTTATTAGTATAAGTATGTTTAGTGGGATGTGTCCTAATTCATGACCTTGAGTATTGATGAGAGTTATCCCCCTTTTTTATTAATAAAAAAAATCAATTTTAAAAAATTTAGCAGGTAAAGAAATTGTTTTCAATTATCATTATATTTTTGATATTTCAATGCATCTTTCCACCACAGGATTTTTTTTATATTCAAATTATTTGAATTTTTATTTTGAAAAACGCTTTTTCCGTAGACTTCAATGCGATCTTTGTTAATTAATTACTGCTTAATTAATGAACTTTTTAAAAATTTCTTGTGGGCAATCCTTTTCCAGTATAAAATGTTTTAATATGTCCATCTCTGAAATTTTTGAAATTCTGTTAAAAATAAACTTGAAATAAAACATTTGATTAAAATAAGACAAAAAATACAAAATTCTATAAAAAATGTTTATGATATCAATACCCCTATCTGGATATTTGATATCATCATTGTAAGTGGTGCTGTATTGAAATCTAAAATAAACTGTGGATGTAAGAAGCCACCTTAAGGAGGGTTTCTGAATAAATGTAGATGCTTAAAAGTATACACACTATAACTTGCGCCCGTTGAAATACGATTGGAAATTGATATAATTTGTTTATCAATAAAAGTTACGAAAATACTGTTAATTACACCATTAAAATTAAACGCGTTACAAAGTTATCAAATTATAATTTTTTATTATCCTGCAAGGAAAGAAAAACAGCTATTTTTAAATAAATCCATCACGTGACGCCGTCGCTACTTTTAGATTGATAAACACACGTGGCGTTAAGAAAACAATGTAGGCCGTTTGAGATACTACTCACTTTTAATGTGGATGGAAAGCGTCTTACTTAATGGTACTTATATCTTTTAGTATTCAGTATCAACCATCTTCTCTGTTATGACGCATATTAACCTTGTATTAGTAATTGTTGTCAAAATGCAACATACCTCGTTGTCATTTCCCGTGGACATGTGTTTCTATATATAGGCCTACTGTTTACGCACTTCCTTCATCAATATTCATGAAAAGACTGAATTCTTAATTCCTAAATATTGTTTAATTGTTTTGTTATAACAAAGATCTACAGTACGATCTTGTGGAAAGTATTATTTTTCAAAATTAAAACTATAAAAAAAAAAGTTATCTAAAACTGAATGAAATCTAGCAGGGACTATATTTCGGCGGAATAATTGCATTTCATCAAATACAATAACCGTTTTTAACCAGTTATTATTTGGTACGGATACGCAGCCCAAGTGACCAATCTACTGGGGATGCTGGTTGATTCGATACGCAAGAGCATGCTCTACGTATGAACAATTTCTTAAACGAGGTAAATTATTGACAAGCAAGTTGATGAAACAAGAATATCAACAGTCTCGTTTAAAGTCATGATTTCGTAAATTCTATGGTCGATACAATGACCTTGTCAGCAAATACAATTTATCATTGAACGAAATGCTGACTGACGTTTTTCATACCAATTGTTAGTCCATTATTTATACACTGAATTGACCACGGATTTTTTCCATTATTTCCTGATTATGACAACGAGCACACGGCGGGTGTGACCGGTCGGCAGGGGATGCTCACTCCTCCATGGCACCTGATCCCACCTCTGATGTTTCGGAGGTCCGTGTTTGCTCTGCTCTTATTTTGTATATTTGTTTAATGGACGTTGAGATTGAATACTGTTCGTTATTTCCATATCCTTCTTTAAGCCTATAATAGGTATTTTATGCAACTGCTGAATTTTCTCAATTTTATGTGTTTTGCAAACTTTCTGTTTTAATTTGTTTTGTTTTTAAGACCGATTTCCGTTTGTTAACTTTATCCTCAATTTGCCAGTATCCCTTAAGTTCGTCAAAATCAAAATGAATCGAGTACACCTGACAAACCGGACGTATTTTATAGCGTTTTTGATTTCTCCTTTAACTATTTGTTATAAATTTTTGAATTTAACATGTAACATTTAGTAGTTCTCTTTTCCTTTGTTCCTATCACTTTATAACTTTTTTCTTGGTTCTGAAGAAGAGACAGAGCGTCCCGAAAATTTGACAATTTTTTTTGTTCGTATCGTTGGTCATTTTTAGTGATTTTATATATACATACAATGTATATCGTTAATGTGTTTAAGGGAGGGTGCATGTGTGTATGTGTTATTCTTAATGCATATTATACAATTTGTTTTTAGATTATCTTGACTTCTGGCTTGACTCCATAAAGTCGTTTAGTGGACCTTCTGCACAAGTTCTTGCGGTGGCTACGCATACAGAAGGCAAGACGGGAGAGGTATTTCACAGTTGTTTGATGACTGTTTCCTAACACGTAAACAGTAAAGTATCCCTAGTAAATTGCATCAAAGTATCATCCGATAAATAACCTTTAATTACTTTTAAAAAAAAATATTTACTATTTACCAATGTTGGAGTTAAAGTTTGAGAAAGAATACGTTGAATAGCAGCTGCTTGATTTTTAGGTCAACTGAGTAAACTCAGGTGACCTATTGCTATCCGTTTTCGTCCGTCGTCGTTCGCCGTGCGTCGTGCGTTATCATTTGAACATTTTCAGCTTCTTCTCTGAAACCACTCAATCAATTTCAACCAAATTTGGTACAAAGCATCTATGGGTGAAGGGAAACAAAAATTGTGAATTTCATGATTCCTGTCCCCAGGGGCCTGAGGGGTGGGGCCAAAACCACTAAAATTAATGCAATCTTTAAAAATCTTCTTCTTACTCCTGGACATCAAGCAGTCAAACTGTTGTTATGATTGTAATCAGCATTGAGTCCTCTACTAAAATTGTGAAATTCATGGTCCCAGGTTTATGGGTTCTAGTGCTAGGACGGGGCTCTATTGATTATATAGTGAAAATGTATTATTTCTCTAAAAATCTTCTTCTCTGCTCCTTGGTATCAAATAAACTAAATAAGTACATAGTTTGGATAAGAAAGAATGTCTTTTGCCAAATTGTGAATTATTTGGCCCCAGGGTCAGGGGTTCTAGTGCTAGGGCTGGGCTCTATTGATTATAAAGAGAAAATGCAGAATTTGTTTGAAAATCTTCTTCTCTGCTGCTGGGTATTTAACAAATTAACTAAGTACCAAGTACCAAATGCAAATTAACGAAAAGTTATGATGAGCAAGAATGTTTCTTCCAAATTAAGGAATTTTATGGCCCCAGGGTCAGAGGTTCTGGTGTAAGGGTGGGGCTAAATTGATTATATTGTGAAGTATTAATACATGAATTCTTTGAAAATGTTCTTCTCTGCTCCTGAGTATTGAGTAAACTAACTTAGTATATAGTTATGACGAGCAAGATTGTCTCTTTCAAAATTATGAATTTTATGGTCCCAGGGTCAGGGGTTCTGATGTTACGGTGGGGCTCTTTTGATTCTATAGAGAAAATGCAGAAATTGTTTGAAAATCTTCTCTGCTCCTTCTTTTATAGCTATGATGAGCAAGGGCTATTCTTCCTGAATTGTGAATTTCTCAACGCCCCTTGGTCAGGGGTACCATAGAGGGAGGGGGGGGTCTCTACTTATAAACTGAAAATGAATTAATTGATTGAAATCTTCTCCTTTTAATTAATCAAATATTTTTGATAAGCAAGTGTGCCTTTTCCAAAATTGGGAAATGTATGGACCAAGGATCAGGGATTCATGCGTGGTAGTGGCACCATACTGATTATTTCTGAATATTACTGATTAGTCGAAATGCATTTTTTTGTTCCCCTACTCTGTATATCCGTATTAAGTAACCAAACTAAACATGCTAAGTGTATAGTTATGATTAGAAATGGTCCCTCTTTCAAAATTGTGAATGCCATGATGTCTAGTTTAAAACATGAACCAAAGTCAATTGTTGTTAAGTTGTTGCATAATGCTCAGGTGATCTATAAGGCCCATTGGCCTCTTGTTTTTTTTTCATTTAAACGTTAAAATCACAGTGATGCAATTTAAAGGATTGATTAATTGTATGTTGTTTAACAATCCTATCGAGAATTTTTCACTTATATAGAGACGTCCCGGTATGCCCTTGAAGGCTTCAAATTTAGACCTTTATCGTGCCGACGCCTACAGTGACACGGGACCTACGTCTTTAAGGTCTTATCTGAAAGACCCTTGTCTTTCACTTCATGTGTCGAGCGCTTGGCGAAGGAACAGTTACTACCTATGCTCATGTCTTAGGTATGACGCGGCACCGCGAACGATAATTGAACCTGGGCCTTAGGATCACGAAGCGAACGCTCTAGACGACCTCTTGGCTACCATGACTGGTCCAATATAAAAAGAATCTTTTTGACTCATATTTTACATTTGCTTCATCAAAACTCTTTCTGCTATGGCCCTATCAAAATTCCTATTTTTTTATGGGAGATATATTTTGACTCGATCACTATGGCTCGACCAATCAATGAACGTCCTGCGAAGCTATAGTCATTAAGGACATATGCAACGTATCGTACCTACTTATAGTTTTTCAAGATATTATAAATTTAAAATTGTAGTGCCAACAGATGTTCATAGACAAAAAATTAGCAGGTTTTGAAAATTACAAAATTATATTCTAGATGTAGTGTATCCATATTTGTTTTAGAAGAAGTGTACAACGGTATATATAGACATTAAAATTGTATCACATTGTTCCTTCAAGTATTGGAACTTTTTAAATCCAGGGAAAAATACGATAACGTTCTAAAACGTTGAGTATGCCCTTAGCAAGTAATTCATTTTACATGATTTTTGTCGGTATTGTCCAGGAAATTGAGAACCAATTTTGATGACTGGTTTCAATATTTTCAAAACAGGAAAAAGACTCTTTTTGGGAGACTCTTTGGACATTAGTACCAGAGGATGATAAGACCAGGCTTTATGACAGGGACTTTGCATTAGGACTAATAGAGATGAATGAGGAAGCGAAGCATGTTCTGCACAGTTTAAAAAAATCAATTTCTGAAGTAGTATCACAAGGCATGGATACGAAATTAGAAGTTCCATCAGCCTGGGCACTTCTTGAACATCTCTTACAAACAAAGGAAAAGCCTATCTTGTCAATTAGTGACATCAACAAAGAGAATAAGAAACTTTCAGAAGAATATCAATTGAAAAGTCAAGAAGAAATATTTGATTTTCTGTCTTTTTTCCATGGACATGGATTGTTACTCTTTTTTAAGGAGGAGGGACTGAGAACCCACGCAGTTCTAGGCATACAGTGGTTTTCTAACGCATTCAGTAAGCTTATTGCTGACAAGGAACACATCAACAGGGACTGCAAACGAAGATATATAGAAGATTGGAACCATTTCAATGCGACGGGACATCTGAGCAATCCACTGTTAGATTCTCTGTGGAAAGAAGAATCGTCATATATAGAACATAAGACAATACTTATGTCATACATGGAGAGATTACGGATGTTAGTCAGCATTGAAGGAGAATCCTCCTGGTATGTCCCCTGCATGAATAAAAAGCCTTTCACACACGGTCTCTTAAAACAGACACTAGAGAAATCGTCCATTCTGTGTTTTCGATTTACTTCCTTTGCCATGTTTGTCTTCTACAGGCTTATTGCATATTGCATGAGTTTCCTGAAGTGGAAAGTTCAGCTCGATGGGTACAAAAGTCAATGTCTGTATCACACAGCGGCGATTTTCGAAACCGAAAATCACACAGTTACCGTTGGTATAATAAATAACGATATCCAGGTGCAGGTATTGCGGATTAATGATCTACAGCTCAAGGTTTCCTGCAAAATTGGAAAATCCATTCAAACTGCCTTAACAGAATTGACAGCAACATTTAATGAGAAGAAAACCTTTCAAAAAGGTTACAAATGCCTTAATCTTTTCTGCTGTGAAAAGGATCTAACTTTTATTCCTGAGAATGAACTTTCTGGAAGTCAATGCAATTGTCCTATTGGGAAAGGAAAACACAAGATAGATGTTCAATGGACTTTGGGATTTTGGGAAGATGTAAGTAAAATTATATTAGCTCAACTGACCAAGTGATCAGATCAGTATGTAAATTAGTAAATTTATAAGTTGTTAGTTTGCCGAAATATGGTTATGGTTTTATCAATTATAGGAATAAAAAAAACCAGAATGATATAAAACAGATGTTTTAGACCCTAGTATTTTCTATTCCAAGCCCAGTGGGATATAGTAAGTTGAAATACCAATGAAAATAGCTATTGTTACTTGATGAATGTCGATATATACATTGTATATATATATATATATATATATATATATATATGTGTGAATGTAGAATTAAAATATGTAGAATCTCTTTTCACTTAGAATTTTAAATAAATTCTACTTCATAGGAATATAAAAGCAGGTCAAATAATAAAAGAGTACAATTAGTACCTTTTGGAATTCAAAACAGTTGTAGGCAGTTGTTTTTATATTGAAACTGACTAAGGAATGTTAGGTTTACTTGACCAATACATATTACTCGATCTGGTTAGGTTTAATAATCGATCGTATTCGGATAATGATTTTGGATATTGAATTGGATGGCGTTCTTGCACATCAAAATTGCAAAAATTCCATATTGTAATATGGAAGGTGAATTAGCGATTGCAATAAGAAGCGATTTTTCTATTCTATTTCAATACAATAAAAAAATTGATTACTTGAACATCATGCATATTCTTCTAATATCCTTGAAATGGTTGTGTGAATGTAAGAACAAATGAGAAAGTCATGATGGATGTGTTTATCAAAGTGAAATTGTCTCTAATGAGGCTTGCAGGAAAGAATCAAAATTTTAATCTCGATCATTGCAGTCTACCAGATATTTGCTTTCGGATAACATCTTTCATTTTTAAAAACATTGTAGGTGTAGGTATTAACACATAACTGATCACATATCAATGAATCTATCTTATCTATACTTTTCCCCTCTCATTTGCTTTCCTAAATCTACTGATTGAAAATGAAATCTTGTTTTCAGAGAAATTCCAGTTGTCCCACAGTGCCAGTAGCTCCCAGACCAAACTTAGATGGCCGATCAAGATTTGCTAAACTTGGAATGGCAACAAACGATGTGTTGAATCAGGCATATAAAGACATCATCGAGTTAGAAATCCTTCCTACTGTTTGTTATATAAAGGTTCAATCACTTCCAACTAAATTACAGCTGTACCCAGAGCAAGAACGTCTCTTGCAAGACGCCCAACATACTGGGTATAAGAATTTTGATATTTCCTTATCATATAAGATAATCAGAAACGTTTGCTCAAAGATCCCTAAACCAACAAAAGGCAGATGGGGACAAAACAAGATGCCTGCACCGGGAGAGACTACAGTGGGTGATGATATCGAGAGAATTCGGTTAATGCGAAACAGTTTAACGGGACACGTGAGCTCAGCGTCCACTTCTCAGACAGAATTCGATGACACGTGGTCTTTAATGGCCGGTATTTGCCAAAGATTAGAAACCTTCACGAAGAAGAAGTACATGGATAATTTAATTTACATTGAAAATCTCATCTTAAAAGAGAAGGATGAAGATGATATCATAGAAAGGCTTAAAAAGGAACATGACCGTGAATTGTTGGAGAAAATCAATGCGGGTGTGCAAGAACTTACGACAATTTGGAAGCCTGAAAGCAGAGATTCTGCAGATTACGATTATTATTCGTGATTATTTTGAATGAAGCCTGTACTCATATTCAATTGTCAAAGCTCGATATTTGCCGTATTCATTAAAAGTGACCGATCAACAACACAAGTGATATTTTAATTAAATCGAAATTTGGAATCTCAGTAATCGAGAAGCTTCATATTTACAGTGTATTGACATTTGTGTTAGAAAAGAGCCATAGCGCATTTGATTGTCACTTTCGCCAATTCTAATGCTGATTTTTTAAATACATTGTTAAGTTCCCTCATATGCATGATAGGTACAAAAATCGGTCAGTTTATATTGAGAATATAGTAAATACTGAGGCACCCCCCTCAACAATAACAAACTGTAGCAAAAGACCATCCTTTACCAGAAAAACAACTTCTGAATAATTTTATTAGGATATGACTGCACTTCATTACATTTAGATAACTTTGGTTAAAGGTGGTCCTCATATTGAAAATATTAAAAAAAAACATGTAAATGATCGTTGGTTCGATTCTCACAGTGTGTGTGTCTTACCAATACTTTTATTTTTTTTATGTGTATTATTCCTACATTTTTCTTTTATTATTTTATTTTACATGTATAAATAATGTAAGAGATTACTATATAATTGGAAACATGTAGTTTGATCTGAATTGAAAAGGTGTAACTATAAATAGAAACAGGTGATTTCCTTTTAAATATACTTGAGTAGGCTGTGTCGTCGGTAAGGCAATATGGCTCTTTCATTCAACAAAGAATTCCTTGAACATATATTGGAAACAAAAGTTCGTTTACCATGTAATTGTAAACATTTCTATCTCAAAATGATCATGGTAATATTTTTTAGAATATGCTTCACACGGCTGAACTATGATCCGAAGCCAATGACATTTAAACTGACGTCATTAAGGGGGATGTACAAGCCATATTGTTCTAGTCTGGTGTAAAATAAGAAATACCAAGAACGCGCTTAATACTTCCCTAAACTAGCCCAAAGTTACTCAAAGTGCTAATGTACTAATTACCTACTGCTAGACACCAAAATTAGTAAACAATTAAGTTTATTTTGTTTTAATTAGGAGGAAATTAATCATGTTAGAACTGCGCAGCTACAGCATTCACGAAATGATAAATGCATTGAAAATGGTGTTAGTTTGATTCATTGATAATATGGCTACAACCATTTGTTTCGCTTTTTACTTGTCATTATCCATAATTCTTGAAAATTTGATTTTTCATATAGGTGTCTTCCTGAGGCCATGTGATTATTTCGTCCGCCATTCCTCTGTCACACAGAGTTCGAATAACAATGATTTTAGAATAAATGCTACCATAAGAACATCAAGACAAGAAATTACTAAGTAATAATCATTAGGTTATATTACTTACTACTTTTATTTGTTGCATCGCGTCGTCTGATTAATGAAAAAACGTGATTTTAACCTCACTCCAGCAAATCGGGAAAAACTGTTCTGTTTACAGCTCGAGTTTCCTCGTTAATATTATTCCACTGAGCACGTGGTTAGCATGTGCATATATCTGCTGTGGATAGATCCGTTTATTACCATGATTATATTTGATTTTTCATGGAACAAGTCTTGATAATTGGTTGGTTTCTTTAAACTCAAGAAAAAAGATAAAATGTCCTAAACATATGTGTTTACGGCGGGTCTTTTTTCTGTGGCGATAGAAGTTATTTTCAAATGGGGCACTGCAAGGAGAATGCTTAGCATTTAATTTGAAAATGTTAAACAATTTGCGGTGCATGAAAAACAAATTGTTATTACATGTCTTATATTCGAAAAGTTGGTACATATGTCTATTTTGTTTAGAAGTTAGATAGAAAAAATAGGCAGTTATAGGATATCCTTAAGGCACCTCACATAAATAGCTAGATTGTTTGCAATGGCCCACACACTGTATGGAGTAATGTTTGGACACAAAAACGCATCACGTCTCATTATGTTGACAACGTTGTAAGCGAGATGAGCTCCAAATCGAAGAAATTGTATCCGTTTACTGTTGAATAAACGCGTGTTCACGACTTTCAACCGCATCAACATTTAGGAAAATCATCACTGTAGAGGACAGAGCCATGATACCGAAATAAATTAATGGTTTAAAGTCCAGAAATAGGTGCTGAAGTGGGAGGGGGTATTTTTTCCAAGATGTCCGCTTGCGTCCCTTTAAGAGTTTATGTATATAGGTGTAGTACTTTTTTAACAACATTATTTTTCTTGCCTGATCATGTCAGAATCTTTATTAAAGCAACTTCTAGAGTGTATTTAATGTTGATACAAATTAAAAAAAAAATTATTTTACATTTATCAATCCGGAAGACAAGCTCCTATGGATCTACTGCCTAGAAATGGCCCGACTCATTCTTTTACATCTCATTACACAATATTTTTTTCTTTTTCTTCCATCAACAATTCTGTTTAAATTTTAAGGAATTTTTTTCTCACCTATAAATACGGACCCAATAAAACACCAAACGTCATTTTAAAGATGGTATAAAATAATTAAATATGTTGATTTTTTTTTCTTTACTTTGTATAATTGTAATTTTGACAATATGGGCAAATAGAAAAAAAGTTTTTTTTTATCCATTTAATCTCCTAACCCACTCTGAATGATTTCATGCCTTTTCAAATGTTGCTCCGCTGTAATGAAAATTGTAAATGCATGTTTATTTGACTCAGTATACGAGGGGTGATCAAAAAGTAAACGATATCTTAGGTATTTGATATAGTTATATTATTGTTGAAATATTCAAGTATTTTTCAAAGTGTACATTGCTTTCACCGGGCAACATAACAAGTATCATATTTAACCATGCATCTGCCTCCCTTCACTAAAACGATCTATCCAATCATTGATTGAAATTATAGGAAGCCATTTATTAAACTGTGAACAAATTCTTATACGCTACTTCAAATGCATTTCTAAGATATACATGTGCAATAAATATTATAGTCGTTTGTTGCACGAGTTCCACTGAGACAACCATTTTTCGTCACAAGTACCTGCATAATGACGTCATTTTCAGATTGTGACATCACAAACAAGGAGCAAAACTTCAGTATATGCTATTTAGAGAACTTGTGTTTGGCTATGTATCTTATCTGAATTGTGGTTTTGTAGATATAGAGATAGTTCGCGAATTTTTTGATAACCCCTCGTACTAGTAGGTACTAAAACAAGGTCATTCGTATCGATTTTATGTGTCTAATTTCTTTGTGTCTCATTGGTGTTAATTAAAATTTTGATATATAATATGATTTATCTGTGGCAAACTTGCAAACTCTTAATTTTTAACTTTGGTGGTGCTCATTTTTCCTTACCTGGAATCAAAGAATTTAAGTTTTTTTTATATCAATACGTACACTATTTAACAACCGTTCGTTAATAATGCTAAATAAATTACTTCAAGCCACACTATAACACCTTTCCTCTTTTAAAAGTGTTCATATTATTTGAAATATTTTGCAACTGTAATTCTCTTCTACATTTAAAGATTGTTATGTCCCTCCATATTAAGAAGAGGTCTGGAAAACAAAATTCTGTGCTAAAAATAGACCACGTGCTGCTATCCATGAACTACTTTCATGGTTCTTTACACACTCTTTTTGAAGACAACGGTACCTTGTTTTGAACTTGAAATTATCATATAAAAGTGCAAAATTTAGACATTTTCTCAACAAATGGTTGTAGAGAGAACATTAATGCACAGTTTGCATATTTTTTTGGATTTTTTAAGGCCCTGCTGAATTCTGTAGCTGCGCAGTTCTAAGGAGCATATCAAAAGCATTTTTCTGCAAAAGTATAGATTATATATACCCAACATGCATTCAGTTATGCATATTTATTGTATCTTTATCATAAGGACTTAAAATTTGATCAAAATATAATGTATTTTAGCCATTTGAAGAAATGTTTACATTTTGTATTCACTGCACTGAAGGTGGCCGGACATCCCCCTTAAAGATTTCAAATTTGACTGCTTTTATGACAATTTTGTATGCTATGAATTTAGGATTTATTGTGTATATGTCCAAATAGCATAATTGTAAATAGTTGGAACTTTTAATATCGCTATTTTGTTCTGTTTTACTTTTTAGCTCACCTGATCATATTTTGTCCGTCCGTCCGTCTATCTCTCTAGCTGTCCGTCTGTAAACTTTTCATATTTTCGACTTCTTCTCAAGAATGGCTTAGCCAATTTTGACCAAACTTGGTACAAAGCATTCATGGGTTAAGGGGAATTTAAATTGTTAAAAAGGGGCCAAGTCTCCTCACAAGGGGAGATAATCAAGCAAAGATAAACAATAGGGTGGGGTCATTAAAAAATCTTCTTCTCAAGAACCACCGGACCAGAAAAGCTGAAACTTACGTGGAAGCATCCTGTGGTAGTGTAAATTCTATATTGTTCAAATCATGACCCCCAAGAGAAGGGCGGGGCCACAATGGGGAATCAAAGCTTTACATAGAAATATATAGGGTGCATACCCCCCTCCCTTTTGCAAATACTATTTACATACACATATACTGTATAATATATACATGATTTAGGCATTGAAAATTTGGGTTTACCTATTTTTGTTGGTTTAGTCCCCCCCTACCCCCCCCCCACTTTCAATTTGTTTACAACGCCTATGTACACGGTTCATAATGTTGAATGTAAGCATACAATAAATGATACATATATGATACATAGCTACACAAATTTCTCTCAGAACCATTAAACTATGGTTTGTGTTTACATTTATAAATAGTGAATTTAGTACATATACTAACTTTGAGAGGATATAATTGTCAATCAAACGTTAGGGAGAGGGCAAAATAAGTTTTAAGAATTTGTGCCCAATCCCATTGTATATATATATATATTACAATAAAATATGTTCAATGTCAATTCAATGTTTTCAATGTGAAAAGTTTTCTGAAAATCACGTACAATTACACTATGTAGCTCTGACTTTCGTTTTTAACAAATCTTGTGCATAAAAACCAAACTAAACCATGTCGGTTTAGATATATAACATATCTTGTGTAGCCTTACATTGTTATATTCTATTAATGATTATGCAATTATATTTTTAAAACAAAAAAACTTTTAAAT